ATGGTATTTTTGTAAAAATTTCAAAGTGCGACATTTTTGTATTGCGAAAAATCACATTTTTTTTGAAATTTATCATAAAAAAAAAGTTATCTTGGCCACTAAATATGTAAATAGGCCCATCTGCTTATTTATCTACACCTACGGGCACAAGAGAATCTCCGGCGAGTTTAACCTTGCGATTCTCACCGTCTTCGTGTGAGAGAGAAGGGAAGGATCAAAATGAAGCTCTCTTTCTCTCTCCCCTCGAAGTCCAAGCCCAAAGTCACAGCAATCGCCGACGGTAACAACGCCGTCGATGGCGGCAACAGTAAGCAGTTCGTCACGGAATTCGATCCGTCGAAAACCCTAGCCGATTCCATTCCCAAACACGTTATACCTCCGATTGAGAATACATGGAGGCCTCACAAGAAGATGAAGAATCTCGATCTCCCGCTTCAATCCGGTAACACTGGTTCCGGTCTCGAATTCGAGCCCGAGGTTCCTTCAGGCGATTCTCATGGATCTGATAACATCACTTACGGTCTAAATCTGCGTCAGAAAACCAAGGACTTCGCTGCGGATTCGAGTGATGCGACTGAAGATCGGAAATTAGCTCCGGTGGAGCAGCTCATGCTGCAGAGTTTAAGGAAAGATCTGGAGTCACTCGCTGATGATCCGACGTTGGAGGATTTCGAGAGCGTTCCTGTGGAAGGTTTTGGAGCTGCGTTGATGGCTGGATATGGTTGGAAGCCTGGTAAGGGAATAGGTAAGAACGCTAAGGAAGATGTTCAGATAAAGGAATATAAAAAGTGGACTGCTAAAGAAGGATTAGGTTTCGATATGGATAGATCTAAGGTTGTAGATGCGAAGGCTAAAGTGAAAGAAAATGGGAAATCGGATAATAAGCCTAGAGGTACTGATGGTGGAGATGTGTTTTTTGTTGGGAAAGAAGTGAGAATCATTGCAGGAAGAGATATAGGATTAAAGGGTAAGATTGTTGAGAAACCGAGTACTGATTTGTTTATCGTGAAGCTCTCTGAAAGCGAAGATGAAGTGAAAGTGGGTGTGAATGAGGTAGCTGATTTGGGTTCCAAGGAAGAAGATAGGTGTTTAAGAAAGTTGAAAGCTTTACAGTTAGATGACAAGGAGAAAGATAAGAAAGCGAGTAAACGAAGCAGAGAAACGGAGAGAGGGAGTCGAACTGAAGTTAGAGTTAGTGAGAAGCAAGATAGAGGTCAAACAAGAGAGAGAAGAGTGAAGCCCTCATGGCTCAGGAGTCATATAAAGGTGCGGATAGTAAGCAAAGATTTGAAAGGTGGGAGATTGTATCTTAAGAAAGGAAAAGTTGTTGATGTTGTTGGACCAACGACTTGCGATATCACGATGGATGAGACGCAGGAGCTGGTTCAAGGGGTTGATCAAGAGTTGCTCGAGACAGCATTGCCTAGGCGAGGAGGGCCGGTTTTGGTTCTGTTGGGGAAACATAAGGGCGTCTATGGAAATCTCGTCGAGAAAGATTTGGATAAAGAAACTGGTGTGGTTCGTGATTTAGACAACCACAAGATGCTTGATGTTAGACTTGAACAAGTTGCAGAGTACATGGGTGATATGGATGATATTGAATACTGAACTCTCTGTTGAACTGAAGGTGCTAAATTTCAGGTATTGCAACTACCTCATCTCCTACTTTAATTTCCTTGGAAGTTTAAATTAAGCAGGCTTTCGATAGACGTGTGTAATCAGAAGAAGCTTGAATTAGTCCTAAACGATGAATACTATTTATTGATCCTAACGTCCTGTTCTTAATGTAATGACAGATCAGGAGCAGCTTACGGATTTATGAGAGAAGTGGTGAAAGCATGTTTTGGTTGAGTTTACAAACAGAGACAGCAGAGTATTGCCGTCCCTGTCTTCCAGTAATTGCTGATTCTGTATGTAATCACTAAACCATTTCTAAGAGTATCCTGTTGCACAATTTCACGGTATCCATCTGTAACCTTTTGTGGTCCGAAGTTGACGAGCGCAGGTTTAGATCAGAGATATATGCTTATGTTATAAAACAGAAAATGATGGTGATTACATTTACATAAGAGTTCATTACATCTAAATTTGGTTCATAACACACTCCCCAGTCTGAACTTTACATCTATTTTTCTTACTATATGAGTTATGACCATTGTATGCAACGCCGGTTACTGGTTCGTTGTACTAAACAATAATAACCTGGAGTGACTTATATTATCATACTCTGTTCTTTACTTGGCGGTCTCTTATTTTTACAAAATTTCAATTGTTCCCCAAAATCAAGTTTGTACGAGCTCTGTCTACTCGTCGTTGAATATTCAGGTTCTCGTGCATATAGTGAGACTCACAAAACCATAATCTACAACTGTAAGATATTATATACTGCAACAAGAAAGCATGATAGTTGTATCTCTACGAAGTACGAACTCAATCTGCTAGTAAAGCACAGATTCAAATCGCATAAACCTTCTTTTTGGTTCTCAATTCGTTCACATATTCTGATGAAAGTTTGGTAGCTACCTGAAGAACAGTTATAGTGCGCGTATGATTTTGGGCTAATCTAGACCAACACTGTATTCCTCTCCACAATCGCATTTAGCAATGTAAGAAATTCCCTGCAGCAAGTGGAGGTGGTCATGATCACAAATAGATGTGATAATAATCAAATTTAAGCCTATAAATCAATGTCACCTTCAGTTTCTCAGCCTGACACTGCAGTGAATGTAGATACTCTGCCTCTCCAGACTCATCTGATAAGAGAGCTGTGTATTCATCTTCTAGAATCTTAATATCCAGTGACATTAACTCCGGCTGCATTGTTTACGAGTTCAGAATAAACTTTAGTAGCAGGTCCAGACATGCTTACAAATAGAAATGCACCGAGTGGATTAATCTAATTGATGCACTCATGCAAAATCACATTGCTCGCAAAGATTTCAGAGAGTAATCTACCTTAAGTTCGTTGATCTTGTGCTTCACCTGCTCAATTGCTAGCTTCATCTGCAATGAAAACTATATAGTTCAGCAAGGGGCTCAAAGAGACATATCATGTACTTTTCTTCTTATTTCAGAAATTAAGTGCCATAACCAAAACCACAACCAGTAAAGAGTTGATCTGAAATAAATCACCTCTGAGTTTTCCTGCATAAGGTTGGATCTCATCTGTTTTGCTTGGTCAAGCTTTGCTCTAGCAGAATCTGATAGTTCCATCTGATTTTCCTTTGTAGCAGAATCATTTTTCTAATATATCAAGGACCAACATGAAAGGGATAAGAAATCTTAAGCTCAGTTACTAGCAAATATTGAAGTCTCTTGTAGTCCAATAAGCATATAAAAGGTTCATAGGAAAACAAACCTGTCCTTGTTGACCAGTTTCATTCCTTATATGGGAAACAAACCAGCCCTGCCCAAAATAGAACAATGCAAAGATAACTAAATGTGTTGGTAAACAGCAAATGAGATCGCATGAAGATGGTGAATATAACAAACCTTTTGCTCCTCTAGTTTGGTTCTAGCTTCTTCTGCCGTCTTTAGATAGTTAAAACTGCAATTAGAAACAATGAAATTGAAAGTCATCAGGTGATTCCAGAACCGCAATCCAGTTATAGCAAGATGCTCTTTCATTTACCGTTTCATTGCAAGTTTGGCAGCTATACTGTCTCGTTCCTGTAAAATAAGCTCCAGACTCTGCAACTCATGATAACAGTTTACCCAATGTAAGCAGCAAACAAAACAAACAACTGTTTGACAAAAATACAGTGATATCTTCTAAAGCATAATTCGACCTAAACATGATCCAGCCTATTCATGACTTACAAAAGAGGATAAATACCTGTGCAAGAGTTGCTGAATCAGATTCCATCGACGCAATTTTTCTCTGGTTTCCAAGTATACGAGAGCATATTTCGCCTTTTGTCCTCGTCTTCTGATCCGTCTCTTCTTTAAGTCTCTTTATCTCAGACAATGCTTCAAATAGTGATACAACATAAGAAACAAAACCAAATACTATCTCATCAAACAGAGTGTGTATGTAGAAGCTGTGTACAATGTGCAGATCCAAGGTCAAACGAACTTAAACAAAAGCCTGGTACTCTTATAATCCATAGTTGATCACAG